ACAGAGGCCTTATTAATAATGCCGACCCATCCCTGCGGTAAATACGATAATGCGGGCCCGTAATACACTACTTGTTATATAGGCAATTTAGTAAATGATGAGGTCTCAACACGAAATTAGTCTCACGTATAACAACTTACCTCTGAGTCTTCACCATTTTCAAAATCCAAATAAGACCATTCAAGGGTGTTTTCAATGTCAGTTTTTGGAAGCCAACCGACTGAGCGCAGGCCAGCTCTCAATGACATATCTGGGTCGTTCAATTCCCAAAGTTCGTCAGCAATATTGAATGCAGCATTGATGCTATCAAATACCTAAATATGATTTAAGCTTATAAGAAAAGATACTTTTGTCATATATCAAAATGAAATATGAAATTGCATTATTAATGCTGATAATAAAATAAAACTAAATTCAAAGAGATTAATAAAAATATTTCAGCTATAGTGCATTGTGTTGTAATCCGGTTGTTTAGCTGATACTTTTAGAAATTGCTTATCCGTTTTTTCCATAAATAATATGATAATCCTGCCACAAGTTATATTTATAGTTATATGTTAGGTTTAGAGTTCTTACAAAGACATGGCTGTTCTGTCAGCGAAATTACAGATTGTTTTAATCTGAATAATAATTTTACATTGTTTAATAAGGATACATAAGTTCTACAGGTTAATATCTTGCGAGAATAACCTAAGTATCTTGCGAGAATAACCTAAGTATAGCATACCTTATCAAATACTGGAAGAGCTTCGCCTGTAACAATGTGACCTGTGCTGTCGTAAACAACAATAGAGAACCAATCACTTTGGTGAGTCTCCATGCCAAGTTCCCAGACCTTCTCCTGCACTGCACCTCCTACTGGTTGGGCCCAATGAGCCCCTAATTCCACACGTATCCCGCCAAACTCAACATCACGCACCCGACCTCCAATGTAATCAGCGGCTTCAATGATCAAGAAATCCTCGACACCGTTGTCCACCAGAGTTTGCGCTGCTTGTAGCCCGGCAGCACCAGCCCCGACGATCAAGACAGAAACAGGCTCATTCGTGGCAAGTCCAGAACATTTCCAACAAGACATTGCAAATAATAACGAAAAAAAGATATTCCCTTGGAAATGCATTGTATGCCCTGATGAGCTTTATCTTTCGTCAAGACAAGATCGAAATCAAGCTCAGTGTCGGTGATTCATTGCCTAACGTAATTTACAAAACTTCACAATATTCAAATTATTTTCTATTCAAGCGAAATAACATGTAAAGTGCCAGATTCCAGCAACGCGTTTACTACAATTGTTTTTATCCATTTATTATTTTCAGGCCGATTGCGCTATTTATCCTTATAAAGTTTTTATCCGTCAACTTAATATTGTTGAAATAATAATAATATATAAAGTAATGTTCGGTGGTGTTGCATGGTAAGGTTTTCACATGGTAATACAGTTTAATTGCAGCATTGTTAATTGTAGTTTTGTGATGGATTTACAGAAAATCATATTTTAATTTCTTATTCAAAATGATAATATTTAGGGCGATGTTATGTGAAGATGTTGATTTCATAAAACAAGAGATACACATGAATGAACGTGATCGTCTGACCTATGTGTGGAGCTATAGTTTCCATTTGTATTTGTATATCCGAAAATTCACTGCAGGGGTCGCGCCAGGATTTGCCCGACGGGGGGCCGAGGTCCCCGACGAGGGGGCCGATTCCCCGACGAGGTGTCAGATTCCCCAACGAAAGCAAAGTGGGCGTGGTCGAGCTTCGATTAAAAGGTTACAGAAATGGTCTTGTGTGCGAAGCCCCCGAAAAGTTTGACAATTTAGGGGTTTCAAAGGCTTATTTAATCTATTTTATAGTCTACTAATATGTAGAAAATACATATAATTTTTTTTCCCCGACGGGGGGACAGCTCTCCCCGACGGGGGTCCTGGCCCCCCGGCCCACCCACCCCCCACCCACTGGCGCAACCCCTGATTTACTAGCAGTGGAGGGGAGTGGTATAAGATTAGTGATGTTTTAGGGTGAAAAGTTAAGTAAAATTTATATAAGTTGATAGGTTTATAGAAAAAATGTATTTTGACCAGCCACGGGGATGCGCAGCTGTAAAACTGGCCGTAAAACTGGAAGTGTTTTGTTTCTGACATAACCCCTGCCAAAAAAGCCGAGTAAAAGCAATAAATTAAAAAGAACTTTATCGCCTTGATCATTGTTAAGCCTGGTTTCAGTAACACCACTGCACTGTCTATATAGCGTTTTTATTGCAGTCTTTACACTGCGTAGCTGCTCCCGGCGCAACTGAGAAAGGTCCCAATTAGACCGACCAATCGATGTCGTTATAAGTTGTTGGCGGAAACGTGTAGCGATTTTATGGAAATTAAGCTTCTGTTCTTTCTGAAGTGTGTACTAATATGCACATAGCTATAATGCACAAACGGGATCAACGCCTTAACTTTTTATTCAAAATGCGGGTGTAATATTGTATTGGACCTATTCCAGCCCCGAGCTAAAACACAAAGGAAGCAACGATGGAAAGAATAGGGTTAACAGTATGAAAGTACGGTTGAGCGATCCACAGTGACTAACACCAGTTTATTCGACAATTACCGTATATATTCTCACTGATGATACGTCGTCCATTGTTTTCAAACATTATTGTAAGTGATACAAAGGACAGAAAATATATTTATTTTATTATTTGTTATATTTCAAAGTTAGATTACTTTCTTATTCACCCTTTAACTCAATGCCATATAACGAGCTTGCTTCACTTTCCCTTCACAAGAAAAACATATAGAAGATGCTGTACATAAACCACGTCTCATTATGAGACTTAGGGAGGATAGATGTTTTCAGTCGGCAGACCCGAAGATTGGAATGCAAAGATCTTACTTCCAGGCTATTCAATATCTATCCTATAAATTATATGACAAAGGCAATTAAAACCAAAATACCCTCTTGTAATTTCACGTTTACAGCAAGACAATTTAGGAAGCATTCATAGTAAAGTACCGTAATCCTGTTAAAATCTATGTAATCTCGTGCTTAATAATGATCTTACCTTTATTTATTACAAAGTAGGCCTAATATTGGCTCTATAGAATTGTTTTTTAGCAAAAGGAAGACAACACAAATACCCGGTACATAATAAAAGTAATGACTTAGCTTTGTTGTGAGCTACGCTAGCACAGTGGTGTAACACAGGGCCCCCGAGGGGCCCTATACCCATAGGTTTCTCGATCTAGCACCTTGACCAAAAAGGCTTTGTTGATACATGATACCTTAATGTGTCCCTCAACTCGGCTGTAGGCGGGCATAAATCACATTATAAAATGGAAATAAAAAGAAAATTATATTCACATTTTAAGTCTGTGAGTGCTATTTCCGGCCATCTAGACGTGCCATAATCATACACCTTTTTTCTCAGGCCCACCAAGGCAACAGCCTAATGTGTCTCTGAAATCGACTGCAGGACATATATCATATTTTATCCAGTGGCGGAACAAAGAGGCGTGGGGGGGGGGGGGGGGGGGCTGCCGGCCCGGTGCCTCACTAAATTTGGCAAAATATTTTTTTAATGGAGATAAAAAGAAAAATTATATTCACAATTGTATGTCTGTGAGTGCCATTTCCGGCCATCTAGAGGTGCCATAATCATAAAATTTCTTACCTCAGCCCCAACCACGGTGGGGCTGTGGTGGTATCTATAGACTCTCCAACTGTGAAAGTCCCTCCCTGGCCCTCTTTCTTTCAAATACTTGATCCGCCACTGATATTATATCATTTTTACGTCGTTAAAAAATACTTAAAATAACAATACAAACATGATTAAAAAACCACGATGGAATTGGTGAACGCCGTGACTCAAAAAGGGCCCCAAGTTTCAGAAAGCCACAGTGCCCCCGACCCTATCGTTACGTCACTGCGCTAGCAGAGTTAGCTTTCTCTGATAAGGCTACTGGACAATAGCAAGACTGACCAGCATTACACTGCGGACAGGAGCCCCCATTCAGGCATTGGGGAATCTTTTCCTCTCGTTGCCCACTATCCAGAGACCCTTGGACATATCCGTTATTTTCACTAGTGTCTTCCCCGCCAAAGCAGATATTTTCAAACTGAAATGAACAGGGAACTGAAGTCAATTTTCTAAGTGACAAATATTTTCACTATAAAAACATACACAAGATTCTGTCCATACAGGGCCGTATCCACCGGTGCGATAGCGTGAATCCATTTTTATTGAAACCCGGCTTAATTCTTATTATGAGGCTAAGGTAGTGGAGTTGTTTTTGTCGCCAGACAGAACTAAGACTTGAAAACCCTGCAGGGATTGGAAGGCAATAATCTAACCACCAAGCTATTCTATAACTATAACAAAGGTAATTAGTACATTAGTAATCAATCCTCTTGTAATATTTCACGTTTGCAAACAAAGTTGTAATATTTTACTTTTACACTAAGAAAAGTTAGGGAGGCCGGTTTATAATAAAGTGATCTTGTTTTAATCTATGTCATCTCATGTTTTAAAACTTTTCTAGCCTTTCTCTTATTCTAACATTAAAACTGGCTCTACAGAATTGTTTTTAGCAAAACGAAGACGACACAAATACATGATAGAAGTAATGACTTGGCTTTGTAGTGAGCTACGTTCGCAGAGTTAGATAAGTCCACTGGACAATAGCAAGACTGACCAGAATCCCACTGCGGACAGGAGCCTCCATTCTGGCATTGTGCGATCTTATTTCCCTCTCGTTGCCCACTATCCAGAGCACCTTGGACATATCCGTTATCTTCACTTGTGTATTCCCCACCGAAAAAGATGTTACCAACGCGGGACATCATCTTTTCGAAGCACTCTTCCTCCATGTCAGGTGTCCAAATAGAATAAGCACCAAGGGTTAGCGGGTTCCTCGACCAACCAGATACGAGTATATCTGTGGGGTCTGGTACATTGTTGTCACCAAAGATCTGACGTAGAACAGTCACCACTTCGGTCTGAATCTCCTCATCTGTAAGCACTTCAACTCGTCTGGCCTCATCACCTGTTAGCTCCGCCATTAGAATGTTAGTTCCTACCGGATACATACCTAAAATATAATTTATTGCATGAGTACGTAAATATTTTCAATTCAATTCAATGATGAACATAAAATAACTCATTAAATTTCAATAATAAAATTTCATTTATAACGATCAAGTTATAGAAGCAGTTTGGTTTGTCTCAATTGACCTAGTACAAAAAAAGTACAAAATAACAAAAAGCACAATTATTACACCTGTACATAAAGTAAAAAACGAATTAGAAAATACATAAAGTAAAATGTAAAAAATAGGCATTACAGTTGTTTTGTTTTTTCGTTAGAATTGCAGATTTTGGCACATGCATGTGGTTGTGGATTGTCAATTAATTGCAACGGGTTTCTATTATCTTTAATTCAAATTAAATTCAGCTAACCCGTTAAAATGCAATTATATCAACAAGCCTCACTGAAGCCAATCAAGAATAGCAATATTAATGTGCTAATAGTATAACAGGCATAATGGTATGATGACGTAAATCAACTCTTGGAAAACCATTTTAGACAAGAAACTGCAACAACATACCTTCAGCTCCAAGATTGGTAAATAACGGATAGCGCCCTCTTTGACTGCTGGTATGCATAATAATTTCGCGGTCTCCCCAGAAGTTTTGGGGAAATTGAATATAAATTTTACTATAATCTGCCATTTTGAATCGATTTATGGTTCTTTTCTTCCAGCCGGGAAGGTCTGGTATAAATTCAATTCCCTTGTTTTGTAGAACGCTACAACTGACAGTAACCAGGACACGTGTCGCGCGGAACACCTGACCGTCGTCACAAGTAACCGCGACATTATTCCCAGATGATTGGTCAACGGTTACCGCTTTCTTGTTCAGCAATATCTTGGAGCTATAAAGAAATAGATAAATAAAGTTATTACGTATTAATGAATAATGGAATTTATTGAAATAAACAATGAAATTACGGCGTTACTTGTGAAACTATATCGAGATGCGGCGGTTATAAGTACTTGCCGTCAAATTTCAGGGTTCTGGATTCAGGGCCTTACATGATTTTAAAGATAAAAAAAAAACCCTACTACCTTATCCATACAACGGGATTTAGAATATTTAATGTACCTATGTACATTTGCTTGTATGAATTGCCCCTTACTATGGTGGAGTGACTTCAATTTATTTATTGGTAATCACTAATGACTAATGTGCCTTAATAAAAGAATAAATGAGTAAATGCAAAAACATTCACAATATTATATATCTTACTATTAATATATATTATCATTAGTCCATTTATTAACTTCATGAGTTAACGGAATACTTTTTTGCAATTAAAACTTTCGTCTATCTAAAGTATTGCTGTGTTATCTCATGTTTAAACTAATTCAATTCAGTTGGGTTTTTTTTCAAAAACACCTAATAACCAACAATGTTTTGAACGTCTTCGACATGTTTACCATTTCTTCTATGCGATAGTATTGGTAGCTTTTTAATAGGTCTACTTACTTTCAATTGAATAAAAAAGACCCACCTCTTTTAAGAGGAGTACATCATATCCAAAAAATATAGGGTATAGGTGTAGCTGAATATTAACTTGTTTGTTATTCGTTAGCATCATTTGTAATAACCTTGAATGTCAGTAATACTTTAAACAATTTCACGCACTAAACGACGGAACCTGAAAGTATTGTTAAATAGTAGGCATATGGGAACCGACTTTAATCTCATCTAATTCAGGGTTTATAATTAAGCAATCATACCTCAACTCGTCGTCACTTAAAAAAGGCATGGTTGAGTTAAATAAGTATTTGTATCCACGTTGATCAATGACCAGTGTAGCCTTTTGGTCATCTGGTACCCGCTTATTGTACTCGTCCTTTATGTAAGAATGGATCTTCAGGGATGCGAACTAAATAAAAATTCAATTGAATAATTAAATAGCAACCTTAATGGCAAGTTATTTATTTAGAAACAAGGTTTTATTTCTACCTACTCAGAACGGTTAACTAATGCAGATTTTTTTTTAAAGTAATAAACAAAAACACGAATGATCAAGATATTTTTTTATTCTTTCAAACAACCTACCTCGGAGTCTTCACCATTTTCAAAATCCAAATAAGACCATTCTAGGGTGTTTTCAATGTCAGTTTTTGGAAGCCAACCGACTGAACGCAAACCTGCTCTCAATGACATATCTGGGTCATTCAATTCCCAAAGTTCGTCAGCAATATTGAATGCATCAATGTAGCTATCTACTACCTATAAAGTAAATACAAGTTACATCATATTTACTGCAACCGGCTGGAGTTTACATCGATAGAAGAGAATAACCTCCGTTATGCTGATGATATGATCCTTCTGGCAGTATCTGTGATTGCATTTACAAGCTCTTATCTTTTTTTCAAACCTTAGTTTATTCAGTTATGGGGATTTTCGGGAAAAAATTTGGTAAGGCTTTTTCGAGTCCTCGTAAAAGGTATTATAATCCCATTCACAAATGGGCTAGGTTATTATTATCATTATTATATGCACATATGGCCTACCTCATTATGGGCATACCTGGTCAAATACTGGAAGAGCTTCGTCTGTAACATTGTGCCCTGTGCTGTTGTAAACAACAATAGAGAACCAATTACTTTGGTGAGTCTCCATGCCAAGTTCCCAGACCTTCTTCTGTACTACACCTCCTACTGGTTGGGCCCAATTAGCTCCTCGTTCCACACGTATCCCACCAAACTCAACATCACGCACCCGACCTCCAATGTAATCAGCGGCTTCAATGATCAAGAAATCCTCGATACCGTTGTCCACCAGAGTTTGCGCTGCTTGTAGTCCGGCAGCACCAGCCCCAATGATCAAGACAGAAACAGGCTCATCAGTGGGGAGACCAGAGCATGTCAAACAAGACATTACAAGTAATAATAAAATCCAAGATGCTACAAAGCTAGTTCCTTGGGAATGCATTGTGAGCCGTGTAGCTTACGTCGAAAAGTGACTGTTCCTGACGAGCGATGTATAATTCGGAGTGTTGACGCTTAACGGTCAACCGAAATTTAACCGAAGTCCTAATAAACAAAATCCTTCCTTTATAACTGTACAATAGTACGATTTAACAATCCTCTTCAATAACAAATAGTCCAGTGTTCCTGATCTTGATATATATTTAGAACAGTATACTGAATATTCATCAGTAGCTAGGTGATGACGGCTCCGGAGGAGTATGGGCGATTTCATTATTTTGTCCTTTGATATTTTTTCCCCTAAAAGTACTTTGTTCATCTCTTTCTTAGATTATTATGTACCATTCCACAAAATTTGATTGTGAATACGTACATACCTTCCTTGGCGAAGGTAATTACCACACACATACGTAATAAACTAACACTAGGCCTACTTTACATCTAGATAGGAATAGTTTAGGCCTACTATGGTTCATTACTGTACACTTTCATTTTTCTCAACTCGTATGCCTGTCAAAGAGCCAAGACATTTGTTTAGTCATCTAAATCAAAGTGTGAGGTCACTCATGAATATTAAAGCCCCATTCCCGGCAAAATTTCACTAAAAACTGACTTTTTTTAGAAAATATGCATTTGCATTACTCCAATTATTATAAATCATGGAAAAATATTGGCATGAATTTAGTTTTACGCAAAAGAATAAAAAAAAAAAGAGAAATACAGACTATTTCTCATAAAATATTACCATTTTCTCGACGAATTCATCGTTACTAGGCAAATTCAGAGGTTGTAGATCGCATCCACTGGAATACTCTCGCTTTTATGTATACTTTATACAGTCAATAAAGTGCGCCCTCTCTAGTGTGATTAGTTTTTGTACTTCGCATTTCGCACAATGCGTTCGTTCGGTTAGGTTGAGATATGTTTGTTTAAGTGTCAAAATCTCAGTCAGAATCAGTTTTTTAACAAATTTGAAATAATTCCTATGAAATATTATATTACACAAGTGTCATTATCT